TGTGATTTCACAGCAGAACAGGCAAAGCATATTAGTTATTTAATAATAAAAGGGATTTCAGTGAAGATAATGCTGCAGTTAATACGTGCAGTCAATACCTCTAAGGGGAAGAAGCAGCAGTGGAGCACTGCACCTGCAGCAATCATATCGTGCTGATCCAGAGTCCTGACACTGAGTTTGTGTACCATTTTCAGATCATTTTATTGTTCCTCAGTACATTTCTTGGTAAGGAAATCTTCTACTCCATCCTGTAAATTTGTAACAGTCTCAAAGCAGAGTTACATCACTGCTGCTACTGTGCCTCGTGCCCTATTTTTGCAATTTGTAACTTTTTTTTCCTCCCCACAAATACTATTTGGAAAGAGAATGGAAAAAATAATGGACCTATGATCATGTTTCCCTACTCCTCACCTAGTACTTGCTTACAGTAGGCAGACATTTGCTCATTAAGAACTGCAATCTTCAGAAATAAAGGATGATACTAACTCAACTAAATCACTGCACTGGAATTTATTGACATTAAAGCTGTCAAGATTACTGAGAAAATCTTTCGGATGAGAATCTAAGTTTAATATTCAAAGCCAACAACAATAGGAACAGAAATGTGCAGCCATGTGTCAGGTTCAGAATTCAAAAACCTGCCTTGAGAAGCAGCAGGAGTTGATGAATACTTCTCCCTTCATACATAAGGGAGAAGCATAATGAGCTTTTGCTGGTAAGCCTGGGGGGTCTCTCTGGGACAAAAGATGTCTGGTGACCTGCTACCACCATATAGCAGAAGGTCTGTAAAATCAGAGATAAGAAACATTGTCTCTCCAGAGAGCAGCCAGATTGCTGTCTTGGCTGTGGAATGATACATAACCGGTACCCCAGCAGGAGATGAATTCCCAAACTGGGACTATTTCCTAGTGGCCAAATACAAGACTATTGATGGGGTTTCTTATATTCACATATTTTTTCATATGATGGAGCAGGAGAAGAAGAGGATTAAGAGAATTAGTGGAGTGATACAAACATGAGAAATATATACATATATATCATATGTATGTGTCTGCGAGAAGGGTGTTCAGATTCTGCTCCCAGTTCTCATCCCTCTTACCTTTACTATTGTGGGACAAAACACGGGATAACTCAGGGTCTGCCATTCCGTGCCTGTTTCAGCATGGTCATTGTCTACACCAGCTGGCTGCTTTACCTGAAAATGCACAAAGCCACTTAGCACCTAGTTCTGCAAAGAACCAGGAGATGATGAGTTCTTCTGGAAAGAACTGAGAGAGATGATGCAGAGATAAGAACCAATTCTTTCAGATTTAACACTTCAAGCAGAACCGTTTTGCCAATTGTCAGGGCAACTTGAAGGACACAGAGACCAATGGAGAGAATGGTCTCATTTTACTATGAACAGGAAGGCAATGCAAAAGTAAAATGATACATTTAATAAAACAATAAGCTTACAAGTCAGCTTTAACAACAAGCAAAAATAAGCAAGTAACGCACCTAATCATTACTATACAAGAAAGAGAATAGTAGAAAGATAGATCACCAAGTGCCTAAATACTTTACCATCATCCAGAATCCACAGTTGCAATTGCTGCTGAGCCCTATTTCGCAGAGAGGACCTGGAGAACTCTTCCTGTCAGTTGGGAAAATCCTACCTGGTGCATCCACCCATGGGTGAGGCTTCCAAATTCGCCCTGAAAGGGAGTCCAGTTTTTATCGGCCCAAATCAGCCAGTCCTTTGACCTGTGTATATTTTTAGCACAGAAACACCTGGATCTGATGGCACACTGGGCCCAGGCCTCGGTTGGGTGGGTTTTCCCTGAAATATCATACAAACCAAGCTCTATTAATATCAGTTGGGAAAGTTTCTTAAAATTATACGTTTCTTGCAGATAACTACACAAGATTATGGGCAAGTTTCCAAAGCAGCCTGTTTGGTGTTCAACAGCTGGCATAAGTGTGTTGGTCATCTATTTGTAGGTAAGTAATGCTGATGGTGTTGGTCACATAGTGCTCAGGATTGTAAATCAGCCCTGGCTTATGCCTGCTGCTCAGGGCTCAGCACATACTGATATTCTTTAGGTGCAAATTCTTGAGCATTTGATGATTTCTTACAGATAGTGCATGTCCAGTGCACCAGGTCACAGAACTGACTCCCTTTAAGTATTAAATGTCAAGCAAACATCTGTATCTATACAACATAATGCATTTTCTGAATGCATTAATCTGTATTTCTAGCCTCAATCTTTACAATGCAGCAGCCAAGCCTTCTGACTCAGGCAGTAATCATGAGGAAGTTTGTGGTATGAACCCAACTCTATTTAAGAATCCTAACAGCAGTCAAAAAGCTACTGGAGACAAGATGATGAGAAGAGCAGGGACATGGGGTTTTTTTGAGCATAAATCAGGTTTTGGAATGTTCTAAGCTGCAATTTACATTCCAGGGTCAGAGAGCACTCCTACTCAGTCATTACACAGCTGAGCACTTCTGAGACCATACAATCAATATGTGCCTTTTGCAAAAAAACCATGTTCACTATATGCACACAAAACCTAGAGTGACTTAGTGAAGAAACACTCAATCAGTCCTAGTGCAGTGATGATGAAATACCCTTTATTCGAGCCAGGGGAAGGCACAGTCTGGTCTGGCAGCTGTGAGGGTGCTGGTGACAAACCCCAGACACTGACAGGGAGGAATCCTGGTGTCTTGGACTCCTGCTTTTACTGTACAAACTTACTAGATGTGCTGGCTTTGTTTTATTCAAAGAATCCACCAGCAACAAATAAAGGCTGCATTTTGCCACCAGCATATGTTAGGAAGTGTCTTTGGTGTTGTATCATGCAGAAATCTCTGCAAATTTGTGTTTTACACATAGCCATGATAATCATCCTTGTTAACTGAATCTTTGGCCTAACTACAAGCTCTTAGGACTTTATTTGGAGTAATAGCTGTAGCATTTCAATGAGTTCAGTTTTCAGTAAAGCCAGAGACAGCCGGGCAAACTCCAAACAGGGTTACATTGATGTTGTTTTAATTGGCAGATTGTATCAGCACAGCCTGCCTGGCAAATTACTCACTTATCTTAAACTAGTTTCTATGTGTTGCATTGGAGTTTTCTACTGATTTGCAAGATTTGAATTTTAAAACCCTTTTTGTCAGATAAGTACCTTTTCTATTAGCATAAAATTTAAAACTTTTTTACACACTCAGATCAGAAATTGAAGCAAGTTTCCTACTTTCACCTATTCATATTTAATACATATTTTTATACATTCATCCAGTATTTACAATTATTGGGAGAAAAATAGTGAGGTGAGAGCAAGCAAAATCACAACAAACAAAATTCTGCTGCTTTTAACACAGCAAATCTTTGGAGCCCAATTTCTGAGTTGCTGACTCTAATATTCTTCCTTAAAAACATGCAGTAGACACACAGTTTAACCAGCCTCCTTTTGGAGACCCCAATATTCGCAAAGAACCATTTCCATTAATGATATAATTCTAAGGATATTTTTTCCTTTGATAAAAAAAGTTCTCTCCAAATTTTTTTGCCTGACAAAACTACACCATAATTTAAAGAAAGCTAAAAAAAGAGAAATAAGGCTGGGGGAGGTGGGGAGGAAGGTAAGTTAGGCAAGACCGATAGAAGTATTGCATCTTTCAATGCTAAATGTGCAGGAAGCTCTGTAGGTAAGGCATGGCTAGGAATAGGAGCCAGTATTGGCAAATTCCAATATTTGAAATTGGCAAGCTCTGTGGGTTAGGCACAGCTAGGAATGGGAACCAATATTGGCAAATTCCAGTATTTGGAATTGGCAAACTCTGTAGGTTAGGCATGGCTTGGAATAGAAACCAATATTGGCAAACTCCAATAGTTGTGTCCAATAACATTTGCGAAACCAGTTACACAAGGGAGTGTTTCAGACAGGTGGTCTGTGCAGCACGAATCACTGCAGACCTCCTCAATGCTGAGGTTGGTCCCACAGCAGTTTCCTGGAGCAGGGCGAACCCTGCCTTTCACTGAGGTACCGCTGTCGTTTTTAATGGCCTGGGCTCCGGGACCTGTCCCAGCCTTTACACAGATCAGGGTGCGGGCGGCGGGGACCCCACAGGGGCCAGGGAGAGAGATCAGTGCTGCGAACTGTGGGTCGATACCCACCCCAAAGCACTCAGTGCTAAGGGGCCGGGGCACGGTGATGCTCCTCGCTGCGGGCGGCATTCCCGGGGCTGGGAGCGCCCCTCTCCGAGAACAAGCCGCTCTGAGGGGCGGCCACCAGCGGGGCTGGGAGTGCCCCCATCGGGGGAAGGAGCCGCTCTGAGGGGCGGCCACCCGCGGGGCTGGGAGCGCCCCTCTCGGGGAAACGAGCCGCTCTGAGGGGCCGCCATCCCCGGGGCTGGGAGTGCCCCCATCGGGGGAACGAGCCGCTCTGAGGGGCAGCCACCCGCGGGGAGCCTCGCCTCTCCGAGGCGGTGCCCGGGGAAAGCTGGTGGCGGCCCCACGGTGCCGGGAGCGGCCGCTCCGGGTGGCCACCCCCAGGGGCTGTGGCCAGGCTCGGCGGCGCGGGAGGCGTGGGGAAGCTCCAGGAGGCGAGCCGTGCCTTCGAGGCGGCCAGCCGGGCTCCGGCACGCTCCAGCGGAGAATGGCCGGAGGGCCGGGGAAGAGCGAGCCGAGCCGCCACCGCGCTGCAGGGTACAGCTCTCAGTCAGCCACAGCCACCGCCCTTCTCCGCACGAGGGGCACGTCAGCCACCCCACCGGGCATCTCTTCTACGGGACGAGACCCGGGGGTCGCTGCAAGGAGCTCCGCTGGACCACTGGGCGGCGGAGGAGCAGCGCCGTGGGGCGGGGCAGCTCCTCCCCGCCACCACCGGAGGTGGGGCCGGGCGGTGCCGTGGGGCAGCGCTGGCATTTCCGCAGGGTCGTGGTTTCGCACAGGAGAGCTCGTCTCGCAGCAGTGGCTGGCGGACGGACAGACAGACAGACAGACAGACAGACAGAGGGACGGCTGGTGAGCCCGCCCGAAGATGACAGACGCCCTGCTGCCCCGTCAGGCGGCGGAGCCGGCGGGGGACGGCTACTTTCGGAAGGTGGGAGGCTCGCTGGCCAGCCCGGGGCGGGTGGGTTGCGTGCACAGTGGGCTGTGTGCCCGGGGCAGCGCCTCCCGTGGGCGGCTCGGCGCTGGGGTCCCCTCTCCGCCGCTCTGGGTTTGCTTTCTCCCGGCGGAGCGCTGTGGGCTCCGTCATATGGCAGCCCATTATCGTGGGGAGCAGCCTTCAGGGAGGCGGGATGGGGACCTGGCCCTGAGGGAGCGCGGCCGCTCGGATCCCGCAGCCCTCCCCTGCTTCTGAGCTGGGCGTCTCCCTGAAGGACTGAGCCCTCGTAGCTGCCCAAAATGAGTCAAATTGTACTTATCCGCCGTCTTTTTGCTGTCTTTGTTTATTTCACCCCCCTGCTCTCCTCCCCGGTTTCGCTGCGTCTCCTGGCGCGCTTTCTAGTAAATTGCCGTATGTACCTGTAAGAAAGTTTACTGGAGTAAGGTAACGAAGTTAACAGATTCATTAGGAAGTTCCTAATGAACATCTGCCCTAATTACTTTTTCAGACTGACTGGGCGGCTTATGCCATAACCTGCACCTGAGTTCTTTCTGCACAACAGTAATTAGAGTTAAGTATCGCCTGTAACGCAGCCCTGTGGGGTTCTGTGAACTTCACTGGACGTAAAGGGCAGGCAGTAAGTGCCGTTTTCAGAGAGCTCTGCTTCGGCCTTCCCTCGCTGTTTTTAAGTTCTCAGCAGCTGTAAATCCCGTCCATAGGTCCATGGGGGTTTTGGTGTAGATTCCGGATCCAAGACCATGAATTGCCTAGTCTATGGAGGGGGTAAAAAAATACTGCAGACATCAGGTTGTTGCTGCTCGCCTTTGCGCAGAAATAGCCCCATTGCGCACTTAGCAACCACCTGGATTACCTGGCAAGGACGCCCATAGGCTTGGCTTTGTTGCCGTATTTACAGGCTGTTAGATTTTTTTTGCCACAGTATTTGTCAAATTCATGAACATTGCCCTTTAGCAGAGGAACTGTTTTTAGCTGAAAAGAGCCGAGCTTTACCTGTGCCAGCCATGCAGCAAGGAATCACTACCACCTTGTAAATAACTAGAGAGACTGAAACAAAACTTGGACCAAATGTTGTCTGGCTTCCTCATTTGAGTAATCCTATTATAATATTTGGTCAATAAATCACTTTTTTCTTAGTATTTAGCAGAACTTTCAATCTTTAGCAGTCTTTCCCAGTCATACCATGTGGCCAAGTTGTAATTGCTTAGTTTTCATAGCTATGTTTTCTACTCTGTAGGAAACTCATAGGCTGCCTTGAGGCATGTTAGTGAAAAAGTTGATTTTTCATGAACTAAGTTACTGATAAGGACTAACTGAGGTTTAGTAGCCAAGTTGTGCCTCAGGTCATAAGAGTAGTAGATCTACACTCAGACTTGCTAAAAGACTTAGTTTTAAATTAAGTTGTTTTATGTTGCAGTTATGGTCGCTGAAACAGTATTAGATCAGTGTAAAGCCTATTGGATAGGAATGAAGTTTTTCTCATATATGAAAATAGTGTAAGATCAATTTAATACCTAATCAGGAGCATCTCTCCTGTTACTTAGTGCTTTAAGACATAAGTAAAGAAAAAGTGGGGATCTGATAAAATCTGAATGAGCCACATGCTTGCCTCTGTTCCCTCAGATCTTGGAAAGGTTCTGCCAGCTCCTAAGTGTCTTTAATAAAGTTATGAACTTGAGATTAGGCTAGATGCTCAAAGCCTTTAGTCTCTAAAAGTAAGAAGGAAAATAGTATATCTTGTTATATGTTAGTTGAATGGTCTGAAAAATCAGAGCTTTAATTCTGATTTAGAAGTTCCAGGTGAAGGGGGAGGGAAAACAAAACACAAAAAAAATGGATCAAAACAATCCCTCTCCTGGAATCTTTAACCAGGTACAAGCTGTGAACCCGCGGAGATTGTTTAAATGTGGTATCTGCATGTCCCCGTGAACGGTAAACTTGGTGATTTCACGTGACTGAGATTAGTGACAGCTTTGGATGGGTGTCCTTGGGTCTTCCCCCCTTCCCCTCTGAAAACAACACCAACTATCTTGGTGTTGTTTTCTCCTTCCTTCCTAAATCACACTGTTTGTTTTCCTGAAAAGATCTGAGGGTTGGTTTATCACATTTGTTGGTGCAGAATCACATCACTTTCCAAGGGTAGTCCTTGTGTTTTTAGGTCAAAAGGTACTTCTTTAATTGACTTCTTTTGTTCTGTAAGCTGTGTAGCAGGGTGAAAACACTTGCTTTGCATCAGTCCTGCTCAAACGTGGCTTCCAAGCACTCTTACACAGTGAGCTTGCCTCCCATACTTTCTATGAATATTGTGCACAATGAAATTTTATAATTGAGAAAAATTGGGCAATTCTTACCATATCAAATTGGCTTTTATCAAAACTTTTGATAATTTATTTTGATGAATGGATTACTATGGGAATTGTGCTCAAAGTCTCTCTTGCTCTTTTATGTATTATACTTTTTGAAATTTTAAATACAGCATACCAGAAAGCAGCCCTCACTATGCCCAAGATGCAATATGTAAAACAACTTATTTAATTAACTTTTGCTTAGTGCCTTTTTTTTTTTTTTTTTTAATGTAGGGAGGGGGCCCCATAAAACTGTGACTGGCCAGAAATGGGGACACAGGTGCACAGTCATGGTTCCTGCTTTGACTTCTGGTGCCACACTAAAAAGTGACTCTGCCATGAGTCTGGGATGTGATGGGTGCCAGGAGCTGAAGTCCACTTGCACCCTTTCTCAGCTTTACCCTCCCCATTCCCTTCCAGTGATGTCAGAGCTGCTCCACATGGACCTTTTCCCTTTTCCCTGACCCTTTTTCCACTATCTCCTTTTTTCCTGTGGCAAAATTTATCATTTATATGTACAAAATCAAATTTTTCCTTAAACCTGTAAGATGCTTTGAGCTGGCTTAGTGCTGGTGTGTCTTTTGTTGGTGTTTTTTCTTTTTTAATCACCTAATTTTAAGGAAATTACCTGTGCAGCCACACAGGGTTCATACAACTCTATCACTGTTGCTCCATTCACTTCCTCTTATATTGCCCTTCCAAAACAACCTTCTTGAGCTCTTTGATATCTGCAACCAAACCCGTGAGAAGAATTTTACTTCTAAAAGCAAAACAGACAGCAACAAAAAATATCCTTTGTGGTGTCCTGAAGAGGGTATGGCAAAAGGGAGGAAGCACCTTGCTTTCCATCAAAGAGAAGATAGAGCTTCTGCCTGGAACTTTAATTTCTGGGCTGATAATGTAGCAGGAACTGGTTTTGCTGCTGTTGTGTTTATCTTGGCTTGTTTCAGTGTACACTGCCAGGGCACACTGTACCTGTTCTCCTGGGTGGTGTGAGAGCTCTTGGGCCATGAGCCTCATGTCTTGACCTACTCTGTGTGGAGTTTCACATTCCTGCACTGTTACTGACAGCAGTCCGTGAATCAGCCGTGCATGTCCCACACATCCATCCAAATTCTGCCCCCAGTCCTCCTTGTCTATGAAAATAATGACAAAACTAATGGTAACAGCAAAGAACAATTTGTTTTAGAAGCATTTAGACAGGAAGCATTTTTCAACAGACCAACAGTAATTAAAGCAGGTCATGTGCTGCTTTGCTCCCATTAGATGCTTCTCCCAACCATGGTGATTTTATACACCTGCCATGGTTCTATAGCTTGTTTGCCCTCTCAAATGTCTTCCTGGGTTTTTTTTAGTTATCTTTGAATTCTTATTAGTGAAACAGCCTTCTTTTTCAAGCAGTTATCCCCTTTTATTTAATTTTTTTTTTTTAAGAGTACACCACTCCAGTAAGCTTTTGCAGAGTAAATATCTCTGAGGCACATCAACATACAGAGCTCAGGGTATTTTTTAATATACTGCTCACCCAGCCATGCTTGTGTGATAACCTGTTAGTAGGGCTGTGCCTGCCTTATTTTTGTTTGTTTGTTTGGGGGTGGTTTTTGTTTTCCTTGCTTGGTTTTTTGGTGGGAGGAGCAGAGCAGGGAAGAGATACCCAGCAAGTTCTTTCTACTCTGTTTTTCCCACCCTGACTCACTGCTTTGTAACACCTTACACTGGCCATATTTTCAAAGTTGTCTCACTAGAAAGTTGCAATAAATGGTAAGAAGAAGCCACAGTTAGTTTTCCATGGTTAACATTTCTGCAGCTCTCTACCTTTGGCTGGCTCAACGTGAAACATCCCAGCTTCAGCTTGGCTGCTCTGGATAGCAGTCCACTGTGCTACACAGAGGACAGCTAGCTTAATAAATCTCTAGATTCTGATCAGTTGAACAAAGGTGCATAATTTTATTCTCTTTCTAAGCTTTGCTTTCATCTGTGAGGGTAGATCCCTATCACACAGACCCAGCTGGCTCAGAAAGAATGACTGTGTATTAGTCCCCTGTGTCAGGGAAGAAGACTAAAAGTAGGAGCAGGCAGCTCCATAAGTGAAGCACCAGACTGAAAATGATGATAAGGTATGGTAACTAGCTCATGAATCAGCACTTCCCTAATTAACTCTGTAGCCTTCCCCGCTTTTTGAGCTTTTTTCTGCAGGGCTTCCCCCCACCTGTTGTTAATGTATCAGTTTACCAACCTGCCACACCTGTCCTTCCACTGGGGTTTAGCTCACGGGGTTCTTTTTAAGTCATTAGTAGCCAGGCAACCATCAACATTAGCATTGCCACAGGAATATTTATTTGGCTATTTGTTCTCTTTCCACTTGTCTGGCAGGACAGAAACAACTTTGCAATGATTCATAACCCTTGTCATCCAAAGTCCACTCATTATATACAAATTCATAAAACCTAAAGCAGAAAGTAGGCCTTCATGTGAAACTAAGAATCATCTGAAACTTGGTTAGTCAAGAGACAGACATCTCTGATGAAATATGAATGGTAAATTTTGCTTAGTGAGTGTTGTGACAAGATGGAGTTCATGTAGGGAATACATATTTGGGGTCTAATACAATAATTATTTACTTAACTTTGT